GTAGACCTATTCTACCCCGGATCTCCACGGGGACAAGCAGGGGTTGCTGGAGACCTATTCTACCCCGGATCTCCACGGGGACAAGCAGGGGTTGCTGGAGACCTATTCTACCCCGGATCTCCACGGGGACAAGCAGGGGTTGCTGGAGGCCTATTCTACCCCGGATCTTCACGGGGACAAGCAGGGGTTGCTGGAGACCTATTCTACCCCGGATCTTCACGGGGACAAGCAGGGGTTGCTGGAGACCTATTCTACCCCGGATCTCCACGGGTCTGTGGCATGTAAGAAAAGTATATGGGCTAAATATGGTCTATATAAGGTCTATATAAGGTCTATATATGTATGTATTCCTTAAAATTGTTCACACTCATGTTGTGTTCTGACTGAAACCATTGATTGTGCATATGTACAGAAATAATCATGGCGTTTCAGTATATATCTGCAGGTTGTCGAGCGCGTAGTATAACAGGTTGTTCAAGCTGCAGCCGTGAGGCACGAAGACGTTACCCCCCACTGCTGAAGGTCGCGCGCAGCTTCATTCATCTCCTTGTCAGACTTCATCCATCATCTCATGACGCTTTTTCTAATGCTCGTTATTAGCTACTGATACGCGGTGCGGCGTCCACGTGGAAAGAAATGAGAAGCTTGCTCCCTATTTCGTAAACTTTAGAACACCATAAAATAGAAAATTGCGAATAGGTAGACTGTTCCAAGGAGATTCAAATACCACAAGCAGTTGCTCCCTCCTCCCTCTGTGTATATCTTCCAGGTTATTTCACTCAGTAACGCGTGATCAAGTCACTGATTTAGAACACTGCGTTGTTCAACATTACAGAGAATGAAATATGACAACATTCACACTTCTTTGAAATCACAGCAGAAATACTCAACGTCTACGTTTGCTGTGCATCTTTGAATATCGACATGGCAAAAGAAAGTGGATTTTGTGATTCTTGGAACTTCTACAGAGTGTAAAACCAGGGATACCCATAACTATAAGGTTTTAGTAAAACCTATCTCATAATAAGATAAAATATACATATTTACATACTGATTGTAGTTTGCTTTGAACACTTAGTTACACATCATTTATCAGGAAATCTCGCTCGGTATATAATTATACCTCTGAAATCTTAATTACACTACAGCTTAGCCTATGAAATCCTACTTCCTATAAAGGTATACCTTGGAAATATTACCCATTTAGGTGTGCGTGTTGGGGGTGTTGGTGTTGGGGGTGTGGGGGTGGGGGGTGGGTGGGGTGGGGGGTCTGGGGGAAGGAGAGAGTATATACAACCGACCAAAAATAAGGTAACGAATGATGCGGATGCAGCTGTCGTTGAGGTGTACATTTACAATACCGAGTCGTTGTATATGAACACAACATCTATCACTTTTGCAACTGAGCTTAGCACGCGCTTAAAGTGACTTCGAGAGCATATTCCAGTGAACAGACAAAGTGGCGAATTGTGGGTTGTGGGGGGTAGAGGTATGGGGTGGACTTATCCCAAGTTTCCCGAATGTTTGGGGAACACGGGGGTTGGTGTTGCAATGTGACGGGGGCGTTGGAGGCCCTTAAAATCCAACACCTAGAGTAGGTCGTCACGTCAAAGATTCAAATAAGCTCCTAACGGGAAGGCGAATTTCAACGCCTACCGTTGAAAACCGGCTCCATGCAGCCCGTCTGAGAAAGCAAAGTGTGCCCCTAACAGCATACCATAGGCGGCAAAGAATGGGGTGGGCTAGGCAACACCACGGACGGGATGTACGCCATTGGCGTTACACCCTATATACAGGGGAATCAACGTTTTGGCAGAAACCGTTGTTGGCGACGTAGCGGCGAGCGGTATTCCGGGGCAACAATTCTTGACCATGATCGGTATAGAGGCGGTAGGGACATTGTGTGGGGGCGGTATCACACATGACACATGAACTGATTCGGTTATTGTGAATGGACATTTGACTGGCCAGCGATATGTGGACGAAATGTTGCGTCCTGTTGTTCTTCCATTCGCTAGAATGATCGGCATATATTTCTGACTGCAAAATGGCAATGCCAGACCATATCGTGCCCAGGTAGTCACCTATTATCTCCGATAGGAAGGTTGGCATTGGACGGGCCAGCTATGTCCCCTGCCATGTCCCCTGTCATGTCCCCTGCCATGTCCCCTGTCATGTCCCCTGCCATGTCCCCTGGCATGTCCCCTGTCATGTCCCCTGCCATGTCCCCTGTCATGTCCCCTGCCATGTCCCCTGTCATGTCCCCTGCCATGTCCCCTGCCATGTCCCCAACAGAGCATCTGTGGGATTTTCGCGGGACCCAGCACTCTCCAACGTGGCCCAGTTTGGGGTAGCTCTTCAGTCGGAGAGGCGGGCAATACCGAGCACAACCATACACAAGTTAATCAACAGTATGCCATCAATGTGTCCTGCCTGTGGACACACCAGATATTGATCTACACGCCCGAAATGATTTTGTTTAGACATTTTCACGTCCCGACATAAATCAATTTTGAAAGACATTTTAACGTCATGACACTGACACTATCATTTCGTCAGTTCCCTCTTTTGTCGTTTGTGCTGTTGCTCGACAATGTCAGAGCACATGTTTCGTCATTCGCCATTACTCAAACACCTCACACCACGTGTTTGTATGCAGCTATTACCCGACTCTCCCACAGCATGTACTATTGAACATCGCACTCTGCAGGGGTCGGAGTGTCCACACAGGCTCCCCCGACGCTAGCCCCGTCGTCTTCAGTGTCGACACGATCTTATCTAGATAATTGCAGTATGTGATTAAACCTTCAATTCCATTAGCAAGTCACGGTTCTCATTCAGAAATTTCGCTTGCGCCTAGACTGATAGGGCAAGGCGCACCTTCCGTCTCCCAGCAGAATCCCACGACTGGGACATACCATCGCTATAACAATGCACATCGGGGCAGTGTCAACTCTGGTAAATCTCTGTATCATCAGGTGGTATAGTAGAAAGTGTAGAACCAATGGAGAGAGATGTGGCTACTGGTACAGATACATTCACAGAATCAAGTCAATTCTGTGTTCACGGATCTATACAGAGTACATGTGCCACGTATCTCATTCCACCGACAGCAACAACACACAGAACACGTCCACTTCACAGCATCATGCACAACTCTGTGTTCACGGATCTATACAGAGTACATGTGCCACGTGTCTCATTCCACCGACAGCAACAACACACAGAACACGTCCACTTCACAGCATCATGCACAACTCTGTGTTCACGGATCTATACAGAGTACATGTGCCACGTGTCTCATTCCACCGACGGCAACAACACACAGAACACGTCCACTTCACAGCATCATGCACAACTCTGTGTTCACGGATCTATACAGAGTACATGTGCCTCATCCCTCCGACAGCAACAACACACAGAACACGTCCACTTCACAGCATCATGCACAACTCTGTGTTCACGGATCTATACAGAGTACATGTGCCACGTGTCTCGTCCCTCCGACAGCAACAACACACAGAACACGTCCACTTCACAGCATCATGCACAACTCTGTGTTCACGGATCTATACAGAGTACATGTGCCTCATCCCTCCGACAGCAACAACACACAGAACACGTCCACTTCACAGCATCATGCACAACTCTGTGTTCACGGATCTATACAGAGTACATGTGCCACGTGTCTCGTCCCTCCGACAGCAACAACACACAGAACACGTCCACTTCACAGCATCATGCACAACTCACGGTTACGCCATTCACTGAAACTGCCTTCTCCACATAAGGAATCAGGGCTCGAGCCCTCACAACATGTCACATCAAAACAAGTATATTCCTCTCAGGTGGGACACTGCCCCAGGCAAGTTTCAGTGTGCGAGTACAGGTTCATATTCTTATCTTTCTACCTGCTTTTCTTAGGTTTCCGAATACACTTGTATATTTCATAGCGAACATCTGTGATGAACACCTTAAGTATACATGTATTAGGAAACCTGGAAAGACAAGAACAAAGTTCTTCCTCCAATATGCATCATTTACATCCTAAGATGGAGTTACAACACCCCCCGATCTCCCCCGCCCTTACTCACCCACCCCGGGGATATCAGTGAAACATGTCGGACGAAGACCTGTGTCTTTCTCAATGATATGCGGGGCAAAAAGGAAGTATTCACTTGAAGATTGGATTTGACCAAAAAATACAAACGTCATCAAAACATAACCCGTCACTTGGGCGAGGTGGAACGACAGGTCAAGAGTTTTACCAACTAGGTTCTCCATGAATCCCCCCAACTATTACCCACAATGTAGATAGGTTATCAGACGAGGGAGTATTAAACATTATTTTGACCAATATTCATTGATGAATTTATAATAAATCATCTCATATATATGACAAATTGTGCCGCTCTGATAAGACAAGCTAAAATATTTCTCAGTATTGTAATGTTGAATTTGAATCATAACATTTGCTCGAAAAAGAGTTACGTATAAATAATTTTGATAGTGACCCACGCAGTATTTCAAGAATGGGTTCAATCGTAATATTCAAACTCGTATACACATGAAATATATAAATGAATATATGAGGTAGTGATGCCACAAAAAACATCAACATCGAATAACCATTTCTTATGTGTTTAATCTTTTGCCACCATCAAACATTATTTCGCTCGACTGGTGAGAAAGATATTAGCTAACTTTGAAGAGCAATATTCTGAACCATCTCATATCATCAACCTTTTTACATTTCAACTTTTCAACGTCAGTGCTAAATAATGCACCCTAACGTCTGTTAGTCATTCCACAACAACATCATAATATATCTACCAGTTTCAATTCCTATTTATGAGAACATTATCCTCATATTAAGAAACACATCAAATGGAAACAAACACAAATAAAGGTTACACCTGTTATATAAACTAGATATGCTTTAAGTACATACAGCTATCCCCTATATTGCTTTGTGTGAGATATATGTGGGTTCTCCCTACCTGGGTCACGTATCGCGGCTCCCCCGGGCTGCAGGATGGTACCCTGAGACTTGGCTCCGGCTCCAACACAACTCTCCCACAATCGGCATCAGCTGCCACACAAAGTTGACAACTTTCAACACAGGGGCTCCATATACTTCACAGCCCCTTCACTGGGAGGGGTAAAGTTCCGGAAATCTATCCAAGGTTTTACAGAATACTGGCAGTTAGGAGACGTGTATTTCAACCTTACACCCACAGCCTCGGCTAGCCGTGTGTCTGTGTGTCACTCACGGTATTCCTTGTGCTCCTTGCAACAGAACATCCGTGTTCTCCCTCGCTGTGACACCAATAACCGAAGCCAATCAAAGACAAGAACTATTGCCCGATGAGACGTGGGAAGCGGGGATTTGTCAGATCGAAGTGTAATGGTCTCTCGTGAGCGTTTCCGCCTTGTGTAGGTACCTTAAATATCTCCAGTAAGAGTTCTATGTCCACAGTAGCCAATAACAGAACGGCATCAAATAATCGTATCGACATCCGCTCATGCCTTAAACGTATTTGACTTCACTGCATTCAAACCATTTTCTCTCTCCGGAGTTTCACGGCGGAGGAGGTAGCACAGACCAGCTGGTGGTTTGGACGGACGAAATCTGTGCGGCTGATCTGTGGATATTCTCAGCTCGTGGCCGGGGGATAATTGATAGCTGCAGCGGGCACGTTTTGAAACAAAGCTTTAATTAAACATCGTGTACAATAACACCTCGCTAGATCGGACAATAGAACCTCGCTAGGCGTGGCAATTTGCTGTATAGAGTTGGGACTCACTCCACATGTCGCCCTGATTATGACTCTTGGTTTGTCCCCCCCGAAAAAACCCCAACAAAAACAAACAAAAAAACAAAAAAACGTGCTCAAGCAAGTGGCAAACGTCCCAGGCCTGCACCTGGTTCGCTTAAAATATCACGCAGTGATAATTAAATTGTTGTTAAACGCAGCGTTAAGGTATGCTCAGTCGCTCACTCACTTAGTCACTCACTCGCTCACTCACTCACTCCCTCGCTCACTCACTCACTCACTCACTCACTCACTCACTCACTCACTCACTCACTCACTCACTCACTCACTCACTCACTCACTCACTCACTCACTCACTAACTCACTCACTCACTCACTCACTCACTCACCTTGCCATGTTGTATTAAACAGTTGGCTTACAAGAAATAAAATGGAAATACGTGCTTCAACTCCATGAGTTCATGCGACATTCACAAACGTGATCAGTATTCAGAAATAGTCGTCGTAATTTCAGAAATTACGAAGTTTTATCCTCCGTCAAGTCACTTTAGATTAATGTAAACAACTTATAATTAGCTGGTAATTGCTTCACGCAATATGTGCACGCTTCTTGTAACCTTTCTGCAGTGAAATATATGTATGTCACATTAGGAGCCTGAGAGCAGGGGTGGCTGTCGCCATGTGTACACCAGTCACACGCAGATGACACTCGGTGACAATGTCATATAAGAAACCTAATTATCAGCTGTAGAATCTGCGATAAGTCAGAAAACACTACTGATTGCGTCCGTAAGACATGGGGACATGGTGATGGGATGGACTATGAACTGGTAGACAGGGAGTCATGGCGATGTGACGGACTATGTCCTGATAGACAGGAAGTCATGGCGATGTGACGGACTATGTCCTGATAGACAGGAAATCATGGTGATGTGACGGACTATGTCCTGATAGACAGGAAGTCATGGTGATGTGACGGACTATGTCCTGATAGACAGGAAATCATGGTGATGTGACGGACTATGTCCTGGTAGACAGGAAATCATGGTGATGTGACGGACTATGTCCTGATAGACAGGAAGTCATGGTGATGTGACGGACTATGTCCTAATAGACAGGAAGTCATGGTGATGTGATGGACTATGTCCTGATAGACAGGGAGTCATGGTGATGTGACGGACTATGAACTGGTAGACAGGAAGTCATGGCGATGTGACGGACTATGTCCTGATAGACAGGAAGTCATGGCGATGTGACGGAATATGTCCTGATAGACAGGAAGTGATGGTGATGTGATGGACTATGAACTGGTAGACAGGGAGTCATGGTGATGTGACGGACTATGTCCTGATAGACAGGAAGCCATGGCGATGGGATGGACTATGAACTGGTAGACAGGAAGTCATGGTGATGTGATGGACTATGAACTGGTAGAGTGGAAGTCATGGTGATGTGACGGACTATAAACTGGTAGACAGGGAGTCATGGTGATGTGACGGACTATGAACTGGTAGACAGGGAGTCTTGGTGATGTGACGGACTATGAACTGGTAGACAGGAAGTCATGGTGATGTGATGGACTATGAACTGGTAGACAGGGAGTCATGGTGATGTGACGGACTATGAACTGGTAGACAGGAAGTCATGGTGATGTGACGGACTATGAACTGGTAGACAGGAAGTCATGGTGATGGGATGGACTATAAACTGGTAGACAGGGAGTCATGGTGATGTGACGGACTATGAACTGGTAGACAGGAAGTCATGGTGATGGAATGGACTATAAACTGGTAGACAGGGAGTCATAGTGATGTGACGGACTATGAACTGGTAGACAGGAAGTCATGGTGATGTGATGGACTATGAACTGGTAGACAGGAAGTCATGGTGATGTGACGGACTATGAACTGGTAGACAGGGAGTCATGGTGATGTGATGGACTATGAACTGGTAGACAGGGAGTCATGGTGATGTGACGGACTAGGACTGGTAGACAGGGAGTCATGGTGATGTGACGGACTATGAACTGGTAGACAGGAAGTCATGGCGATGTGATGGACTATGTCCTGATAGACAGGAAGTCATGGCGATGTGACGGACTATGTCCTGATAGACAAGAAGTCATGGCGATGTGACGGACTATGAACTGGTAGACAGGGAGTCATGGCGATGTGACGGACTATGAACTGGTAGACAGGAAGTCATGGCGATGTGACGGACTATGAACTGGTAGACAGGAAGTCATGGCGATGTGACGGACTATGAACTGGTAGACAGGGAGTCAAGGCGATGTGACGGACTATGAACTGGTAGACAGGAAGTCATGGTGATGTGACGGACTATGAACAGGTAGACAGTAGACATCAAATTTTGTTGCATTTTAATCTGTAATAAACTATCATTTTCATTGTGAGTCATACTGTTGCCAGATGCTCCGTATGTCACCTGACTATGTCATGTACACGTGATGATACTAAACCTCTCCCTCTGTAGTATTGATAACGGATGTTCTCCCTGGCGTTGACTGCTGTGGTCCCACGACTGTCCTAGTATATGTGTACTTGGATGGATGATGACTTGTTTTTAAGTTGTATGAGAAAAACGTCACATTGTAATAGCCCTGAGCGCTAGGCAAACAAACAAAAAACATTGGCACTCACGAGACTCATTCGATACAGTAAATATTTCGTATGTTTTTCACAATATCTACAGATGTTGCAATATTGTGGAATATGACTTTATACATGTTTTTAAATTTACGATAAATTCGCAGAATATTAATGATATGCTCTCCCAGGTAAACTTGTTCATAATTCCAGATTGCATTGAAATGAGCCCTTAGATGAGTGCAAGCATATGTTCTTCAAGAAGTTCAACTTGAACATAATTTGCAACATCCAGTTTGTCAATGGGAATGGAGAAGAATTGATTCGGTCATTGCTAAAATACTCCCAGTGTAGAAGTACATATCTGTCATCATCAAAGGCTTGTACACTACATTAAGAACATTCTCTAGGTGTAATGGGTCGGGAAGCTATCTGAAGAGAGTATTGGATGCAATACTTAAGACGAGGATAAGTTAGTGCTAGGTTCCATAATACATGTGGTTTTGGTTTTGAGTGTATTAATCTGTATCTGACCAGATCCTCTCTCACTGACAAAGTGAGTTTCCACGGATCTTCATGTATGGACATGCATCACATACAATTCTTCTCCATTCAGCTTTGCCAGGAAATATTCCAGTTCTGAAATAGGTCGAAATGGCATTTTAAGGTTATACACTAACGGGCAAAAGAAACGCCTCCAAACATTTATTCTGGTCTGAAACAAAACAGACGAAAACTTTAGTAACAGTTGATGTTTTATTATAAAACTATTCAAAAACAGTATTTGAAAATGACAAGATAAAAAAAACATGTACTTAAAGTACTGCAGACACGTTTATCATGCTGGGTGCTCTGTCCAGTATTCGATCACACCCGCAGAATCGACGTCGATTTCTTTTAAAGTCCCGTGCTACACACATGACTCAATATCGGATGTGAACCCCTCCAGCAACGATGCAGGCCCTAACACGACGTCGAACTGAGTACACGAGTCTCCTGACATCCTGGTTAGTGATCCTACGCCATTCTTTGCCAATTGCCAAGGCATTCCCCCGTCAATGTCGGCTGTTGACGTTTCCGAATCCTGCGTCCAAGTTGGTCCCAGACGTGCTTTATGGGCGACAGGTCCGGTGATTTTGCTGGCCACTGTAATACGGTCACATTATCTGTGTGAGGGGTGGGGTTGTCCTGCTGAAACAGCGTCCTTGGGTGGAAAGGATGTACCACAGGCCGCAAAACCTCATCAATGTAGCGACGTGCAGTGAGATTTCCGTCGATGATGACCAGATCTGTCTTCTGGTCCCCGCAGATGCGACCCCAGACAATGACACGACCACCTCCATAAGGCTCCACTTCTTGGACGCAACAACGTGCCGTCCGTTCACCACGTCGTCGGTAGATTCGAACCCCCCCATTAGACTTGAAGAGCTGACACCTACTGTCGTCGCTGAAGAGCACTCTTCGCCAATTTCTCTGCTGCCACTGCTGTACAGTCCTGGCCCATCTCAGCCTGTGACGTCGGTGTAGAAACGTTAACGTCATGCCCTGGAAAGTCAATAGGCACGGAGACCATACAGGCGGTGTCGCCTAGCAACGGTCCTTCTGCTGACTGGATGTCCAAGGCTGTTTGCGGATGATGACGTCACAGTTAGGAATCTTGACCTTAGGTGAAGCACCCGTAAAGACCGGTCTTCCTGTGGGGTCGTGACCTTGGGTCTTCCACTCCTCGGCCTGTCTGCATTACTGCCTGTTTGCCTGTAACGTGGGACAAGTCTGGCGATGGTGCACTTGAAGCAGCCCATGGTCCCGGCAACGTGCTCCTGCGTCGCTCCCATTTGCAACATACCGGTGGCTCTCTCCCTCTGCTCTGCGGTTAATGTTCATGGTTTTACACGGTTCCATGTGATGAGAGAGTACAATCCTGCTCATGAGTTATACCAGAAATTCATACGGGTAACTTTGTGCACATTTTGCAATTTTTAGTGATTAAATTCACTTTTCTCGCAAACCACGTGAAACACGTGC